CCGAAGGGCCTCAGCGAGGCAGGGGTTGCGTCGCGGCTCGGTTCGGAGAGATCGCCGTGGTGGGCGTGTACTTCTCTCCGAACCGAACTCTCGTCGAGTTCCACAACTCCCTCAGGGAGTTAGTCACCGTCGTCGTCGGGTTCCGTCCCCTCCCCGTGTTGGTCCTCGGGGACTTCAATGCCAAGAATTTGGCTTGGGGTTCCCGGCTCACTGATGTCCGGGGAAGGATGGTCGAAGACTGGGCTCTGGAGACAGGCCTAGTCGTGCTGAACCGGGGTTCTGTCCCCACGTGCGTACGGATGCGGGGCGAGTCAGTGGTGGACATTTCGTTTGCTAGCCCCGCTCTGTCATCGCGCGTTGTTGACTGGCGCGTCATGGAGGAGGTGGAGACGTTTTCGGACCACCGGTATATACGGTTCGACGTCTCCGCCGAGTCCGCAGACCCGCCAGTCAGACAGGCCCCGTGTGGCCCGCGTTGGGCGCTTAGGCAACTGGACCGGGAGCTTTTCCTGGAAGCCGCAGTCGTGCAGGCCTGGGTGATACCACCGGTCAGGCCAGCCGACATTAACGAGGAGGCGAGATGGCTCCAGGACGCCATGTCAAGGATGTGCGACGTGGCGATGCCCCGGATCCGACCGTGCCAACGCAAGCGCCAGGTGTATTGGTGGTCGCAGGAATTGGCAGACCTTCGCGGTGAGTGCACCGCAGCGCGACGCCGATACACCAGGCACCGCAGGCTCCGTCTCCGTCCTCTGGACGCTGAAACCAGAGAGGCGGAGCTATACGAGGAGTACAGGGCGGCGAAGGCCACCCTCAGGGTGGAGATCCGGCGGGCCAAAGATCGGGCCCGCGAGGAGATGTTGGAGACTCTGAACAGAGACCCGTGGGGACGCCCCTACCGGATGGTGCGTGATAAGCTCCGCACCTGGGCGCCCCCACTGACTCAGAGTCTCCGGCCGGAGGTCGTGGACGAAGTGGTTGGGGCGCTATTCCCCCGACCACAGATGGGTTACACGCCTCCGGCTATGCCCCCGCCCCCTGCGGTGCCCAATGCGGGCTACATCGACGAGGACGACGAATCCGCTCCGGAAGTGACCGAGGTAGATTTGAGAGTGGCGGTGCGCCGGCTGAGCGGCAAGAATACCGCCCCAGGACCTGACGGGCTGCATGCCAAGGTCTGGGTCCTGGCCTCGGAGGCTCTCAGGCCTCGACTACTTGGTCTGTTCAGCGCATGTTTGGAGAGAGGCCAGTTTCCGCTGTCGTGGAAGACGGGTAAACTGGTCCTCGTGAAGAAGCCGGGGCGTCCTGCGGACTCACCGTCCGCGTACCGGCCCATTGTGCTGCTCGACGAGGTGGGAAAGCTGTTCGAGAGGATAATCTCAGACCGCCTCGTCGGGCACCTGTCTGGAAGGGGGCCGGATTTAGCGGACGGCCAGTTCGGCTTCCGCAGAGGGCGCTCCACGGTGGACGCCATCATGCGCGTGAGGGACCTCACGACGGGGACAGCGTTGGCCGGGAGGCGAGTCGTCGTGGCGGTGTCTCTGGACATCGCCAACGCCTTTAACTCGTTGCCCTGGAGCTGCATTTTGGAGGCACTCCGGTATCACCGGGTGCCTGCCTATCTCCGTCGTGTAGTCGAGGCTTACTTGACGGACAGATGCGTCATCTACCCCGGTCACCGGGGCGTGTGGAATAGGCGAGAGGTGTCGCGCGGTGTCCCACAGGGATCGGTCCTGGGACCTCTCCTGTGGAACATCGGGTACGATTGGGTGCTACGCACCGACCTCCCGAGCGGCGTCAGCATTGTCTGCTATGCTGACGACACGCTGGTGCTGGCGAACGGAAGGTCGCATCAGGCGGCGGCCGACCTGATGTCACAAGCGGTTGCGACAGTCGTTGCAAGGATCCGGCAGTTGGGACTCGAGGTGGCGCTCCACAAGTCCGAGGCCATGTGCTTCTATGGCCGTCGGAGCGCGCCACCTCCAGGTGGGTCCCAAATAACGGCAGGAGGAGTTACCATCGGCGTCGAGTCGGCGATGAAGTACCTGGGTCTCGTCCTCGACAGCCGATGGAACTTCACGGAGCATTTTCGTCGTTTGGCCCCTAAGTTGGAACGGTCTGGGGCCTCGCTCAAGCGGCTCCTTCCCAACCTCGGGGGGCCAAACGCCTCCTGCCGGAGGTTGTATATGGGGATTGTGCGATCCATGGCCCTCTACGGTGCCCCTGTGTGGGCGCCGGACTTGAAGCGGCGGCCGGCTCGTACGCTGGTCGCGTCCCAGAGGGTCATGGCTATACGAGTAATCCGCGGGTATCGCACGATCTCCGGGGAGGCGGCGAACCTCCTTGCCGGATCACCGCCGTGGGATCTAGAAGCGAAGGCGCTCGCGCGTGTCTACAGTTTGCGCGCAGACGCGCGTCGCCGGGGCGAAGATCCTCTGCCGCGCCAAATAAGTGCGTGGCGGAATGAGCTCCGGCGAGATCTCATGGCAGAGTGGAGACAGCGACTGTCGCAACCGAGGGCCGGGCACGCTACCATAGCAGCGGTAAGACCCCTCTTTGAGGAGTGGCTTGAGAGACGCCACGGCGTCCTCACCTTCCGTCTGAATCAGGTGCTTACCGGGCACGGCAGCTTCGGTAGGTTCCTGTTTCGGATTCAGCGGGAGGAAACGCCCGAGTGTCGTCATTGTGAGGACCACCTAGAGGATACGGTGGAGCATACGGTAGCGGTATGCCCTGCCTGGGCTGAGCACCGCCGTATCCTCAGGGAAGATATCGGCGGCGGCGACCTCTCGCGCCCGGCCTTAGTCGAGGCCATGGTGCGGAGTGAGAGGAACTGGGACGCCGTCTCCTCCTTTTGTGAAGCAGTCATGCTCGCAAAGAGAGAGGCGGCCCGCGTGAGGGAGCAATCCTCCTCCTCACGCCCCAGCAGCCGCAACTGGCGACACTACGGGCGTCGGGGATCGAGGGACGATCTCCGGCCACCGTAAGTACGGGCCTGCGGTCGGCGAGTAAGGGCAGCTCGCCGCCCGACCAGAACCAGGCCCGAGCGTACGGTGCGTAGCGTTCCGCGCGCGCCTCAAAGAGCCATTCGACCACCACAGACGGGGCCCTAAAGGGCTGATGTTCAGCCGGGGTTGCGGGGTAAGCGCAATGAGGTACCGCGACCTCGGCACAGAGCAGGAGAAGGAACAGGGGGGTTTTTAGTCAGTAAGAGTCTGACACTCCCTCCTGCCCGGCCCTGGGCGGGAGAAGTCATTTGATGATTTTCCCCTCACAAAAAAAAAAAAAAAACCTACATACATACTATACCTACGATACAGGAGAATATCCTAGTGTAGGGCAACGTTTTTTTTATCAAAGAAAAAAATAAAAATAAAAAATGATCCTTCAGATTATCTGATGATAAGCAATCAGCGCCGTCCATGGACACCCGCAACAACAGAGGAGTTACGAGTGCGTTACCGACTTTTTGGGGATTAGGGATTTGGAGATTTAGTGATTGGGAAGGGATTGGGGGAGAGGACGTATTGGGCCTCGGGTAACCTCACTTACCCGGCGAAAAACAACGGTATTACTCCGGTCGAGGCGACCTATTCGTACCGTAGCACGACTCTCCTACACTTCACTTTACGCATAAGTTGATATTGTGTTTATGTCCAAGAAGAGATCTGAGCTTACTGCTAATTAGATAGAAACTTCTTATTTATGAAAAGGGAAGTGAATAATAAAATAATTAGAACAAATAATCCTAATACTTACTCGGAGCTTATTAAAAAAATGCTTCAACATTAATGAAATAGGTATTAGATCAATTGTTACTGCTGCTTTCAACAAGCACAGGTATTTTTTTACATGATTTATACTGTGATGATCTGCTAGTCAAATTCAACACTTTTGGGACTATTTTGGCACTTATTTTCTATATAGTTTCGAAATTAGAAATAGGTAGTTAACTTTGTCAAAAAGTTCATTATTAACTCTAAGTCATTATTGACTCTTATTCATTTAGACTAGATGCAAAATACCCTGCTGACCAAGAAAATATTCAATTTACTTAAGGATATTCTTGATTTTAATTTATGACTATTATTAATTTCAACTACTTTTTAATTTCATTTCAACTTAGCTTTTCTACGCTGAGGTTAAGGACTGCTACACTGTTCCAGTAAACGAAAATAGGGTGAATAAAACAATATATTTAGAACACGGTTCTTGTTTATAGTGTGGGTGTCATATAAATATGATTATATTATTCCAAATTGAGTGAATTGGAACATTTTTTATGAATATAGCACCTATCAATCATGTTCATCGTCTCGTCAGGTCTCAAGGGCATTGGCCGCGAAGCCGTGTGACGTCACGAGACGCGCCCCCTGGCGACAAGTCGTGCGACAAACGATGGAGGGCGCGATGTATGGCTTCCAAGCGTTTGTATTCAAATGTCGGCCACACTACAACATGCGATACGGCCCACGTCTGGGTGCGCGTCACAAGTTGATGACACTAGGAGTTCATGGTACAATCATACGGGAATGGGATGTGCGACTTTCTTAAAGGCTGTTTTTATTTTAAGGCTAGATATGTGGTGTCCTTAAACCTGTCAATCCACAATATTGAGATAGTGATTACGTATACATAAGTCATGAAATATAAGGTATTGAGACATTTTATAGTGACATGGGACATAGGTACGATAAGCTCTCGTAAAGTGATTTATCATAATTTTATTGTAGGAGACCAATGAGCAATTCTATTTGTTTATTTTCGTAGAATTATTTCTAAATATGTATCTTATTTTCTGATAACTATTGGAAAATGTAAGCCTCTTTTAATTCTTAACTTTTAATGGCCAGTTCATTAAAATATGAAACTTGTATGAATTTATATTATTTATTGGCAATTATTAAAGTAAAAATACGAATAATAAATTAAGTAAAAGGTCAAAATCATTCAAAATACAACACGGTTTATAATATAAAATACAAAACAAACAAAATATTCTACCTTCTACAGCGAATTACACGTTTTTTTTCTTCTAACATATCACCTTTACTACTTGTTGCCTGTCTGACATTAGGAGCTCCTATGCTTTCCTTAGAGTTTTCCTCCGATATTTCCACTAAACATGATGAGTGAGGGTTTCGTAGACGCGAGCATCTGGGGAATTTGAAGTTAGATATGCTTTTGGTGTCGGACTCCTCCGACTGTTGCTCGGTCACATCAGCGGGGCGCCTGAACCTGCGGAACGTGTTCCTTAAACGTGTGAGGAAACCGTTTTCATTTGATTTAGGAAACGGCAGAACTTGTTGCATTGACAACGACGGACCTTCTCCTACAAGAGAATCGTGGTCTAACTTTATTTTTGCTATCTTATGTACGCTACTAGAACTAAGGTGAGGGGCGGGTGGCCGACTCAAGTTGCAACAACTTCGTGTCGCCTCTTGCGGTTTCGGTGGTCGGTGGCTCTTCTCTTCCAGACGTTTACGAAGGAAGTGTACGCTCGCCGTGTAGAACAGTAGCTCATCGTCTGGCTTCGAGAGTGCCACATCGAGAGGATCAGAAGTCACACTGTCTGCAGTGCTCAATGTTAAACTATTTCGCCGTTGCATCCCTTGTCAGTGTCACTAATCTGTGTTATGCTCGAACACATTTTTATCTATTCATCACAAAATACTTTTTCAATAATATTAATAAGCTTATTATATTATATTTAAGGTATTTTAGAAACAATAATAATTTCCCTATAATTGATTAATTAACAAATTGTTCTCGCGCTGACGGGACGTCAATGTCACTGAAAAAATGGCTGATGTTTTATTTTTATTGTGAATATAAATTATCAAAGAGGTTTGATGTAAAACTACACGTTTTGTGTTATCGTGTAATGTTCGATTTGGATATAAGTTAAATGACGTTCTAGCTGAAATACAACCACTACCTATTCTGCAGTATATGAATGAAATTGATATACCTTTTATTATGCATCATACGACTTTTTTATTTCAGTATCATTTAAAACAATATTTATTAAACCTTTTTAGGCTTAGTCAATTTAAGGCTAGTTTACGCGAAAACTTTATAGCCTAAGAGCTAGTGAAAAGCTACCTATATGTATTTGACCAGACCTGGGTTTTTGTACATTGAGGCCCCTATACCTACCATACATGAGATGGGGACCCACTAAGCCCAGAGTGGTAGACGCAGCTGGCGCTCAGGTAGGACAGGTAGTGATTTTTAGCAAAATTTAAATTCATTTGATAACGTCTGCCGTTTAGATATTTAAAAACATATTACTATTATTATTGGAAAATGACAATGGCAGATCATTATCACGCGTTTAACATTATGGCAGACAGTTATGAAAGCACTAAAAAAAAAAGTTTTGAAAGTAGTTGACCAGATCTGCCATTGATATTTATTTTGTTTATTAGGGTCTTAAAAACCTATGTTCACCACGGCAGACGTTTTCATTGACTGCACACTCCAGCAGATAACAAGACTTAGCTACTACCCGGTCAGAGATGTATATGGATATCGTTCTCTGTTTTACATCAATGATTAACTTTATAAATGTTTTTATAGTATTTAATATTAAATTTTATAAATTGTAGAATAAAATTTATAAGTTTAATAATTAAAAAATAAATACATTTCAGAAGAATCTCAAACATTGAGGTTGATTGCAGGTAAGAAATAATCATTCAAATATTTATATTATTTTGTTCTTTTTTATTTATTTAAAACACAATTAATAAAATAAATTAAAAAAATAAATCATGCATTATTACAAAATATACAAAAACCCAGGTCTGGTCAGATACGTATAGGTAGCTTTTCACTAGCTCTTAGACTATTATTTACGATAGCGCAAAAGATAGTTCATTCATATCCACCAGTTTTAACCAAAACATAGGAAGAAATAAAAGCAAGTAATTTAAAACACTTGTTATATATATACAAAAGCCGAAAAGTAAGAATCAGTGCATTCAGAATTTTCCAAACTTCTCTATTTCCTTATTAACAAATTTCTTTGATGTTCAAGATTAGATACCTAGTCTAAAGTTAACCTTGTATTTAGTCCTAATAAACTGAATGTAGTAATAAATACCAAAGTATTAATAATAGATTACCAGACGTACGTGTAATTACGATATAATATTACGACTGTTTATCAATGCACGTCGTAAACTTATTTTGGTCTAGACTTTGCTAAAGGTCAGTCTTTGAAATAAATAAAGATATTATGGTATTGAAAATGTAATTACGCTCTTTTCCATTAATCAGTTTTAGAATTGCGACTATAGGTTAATTCGGTTTAGGGCTGATTTTTCAATGGTTAGATAAAAGTTACCTGGGGAGTAATTATGATGCTGTCGCGTCAGAATGTTTGTATAAGACAGTGACAGCAACAATTTTATTCCTCAGATAACATTTATCTAACTATTGAAAATTCAGCCCTTACAATATCAGATTGCTGCAGTTTGGGTATAAGCGAATAGGGTACCGCTGCCTCGGCCTAGACCAGCAGAAAGAACGGGGTGGGTTTTAGTCAGTAAGAATATAAAGAAAAACTCGAAAAGAGAAAAGAGTATAATGTTACCTATGTATATCTATCTCAAGCTTTCTATTTCCAGATACAAATCATTAAACTCTTCTTTTATTGTTTGGGGAATATCGTGAAATTGTTAGACTAAGCTTAGCAGATTTCTGATCAAGTGAATAGTCAACCTTATTTAAATCTTTATATTTCTTTTCCAGTTTCAGCAGTTTTATCAATAATATAAAATATTAAAAAATATATTTAGTGTTAAAAATGATTATAAAATAAACGTTTAAAGGTTCAAATACCAACATTCATAGGTCAGAAAGTATCGCCGTAAATTTTGAGGTTCCAACCCGATTGTTGACCACATCTAGTTTCAAATCCTATTAAGTTAAAATTAGTTAGAAAATTCCGATAAACCTTAATCGAACAGAACTCTGGGATTAATTCACTTTCACAGAATGTAGTTCAATGACCTCTGTATTCAGAATTTCACTATTTTCTATATACGATTATTTAGATTTATATTTCATAGATATTGTTGAATTGTCTAAATATAGAATTGCTTTTAGCGGTTGTATGTACAAGTTCTGAGCGTGACAGGGGTAAAAGAAAAGTGTATTTAGAACTGTATGAGAGGATAATAATAATAAATGACTAGAATATTGCTATTCACTTAGAGTTGCTATGAATGCTAATAATGTATTGATGTAAGAGATGCAAGATCAAAATAGCAAAAAATATATAGATGAGTTTTATATGTGCAAAAATGTCCAAGGTCTCATTGTGCGGTACCTCATATATTGTTCGACATGATTGGTTTTGTGAGGGCTTTTTCGCGGGCTTTTGCTGCAATGTACGATGAACATGGCAACTCCGTGCGTCGCCCCGTGTTTCCACAAACACGGCCTTACAGTTCGCACAGATGTCTTAATCAATCAAAAAACTACAAACAAGCTTAATATTTAATCACCAAATTATCCATATTTATCACATTAAAACGAAAGTTCAAAAAAAGACTGAAAAAGAAACAATGAATTAGCTTTTAGATAAACAACGAGACGACTTGTTTAGTGGTCGTTTGAATTACTTTTAGTACTTAAAGGGCGTTGACCGAAACATTTTAAAATAACTGGTTAACAACACAATAGAATACCTCTTAAGTTAAGGTAAGTGTTGAACAATAAATTAACTGTCGCGAGAACACAACAATGAACTCGGAACTTTCCTCTCCTGTTTAAATAAACGTTTTCCATTGATACTTATTTTACTAAATCACTGGGGGAGCTAAGTTTAAATTAAAGCTTAGAATTAGAATAATGATTTTGTTTAAATAAAAATAAATTGACATGCTCTGCTACTGAAGGTTTGTTGGTTTCCACTTAATTAAACCTTTATTCCTATTCCTGCTCCGAGCTGGACCGCGGTGCATTTTACGGTTGCACCCGCAATCCCAGCTTAACATGGCCTAGTGGGCCCCGTCTGTGACGGTGTGGTGGCTCGTTCAAGCCATCCGCAGTCCAGCGTTACTGAAGGTGTGAGGTAAGGTATAAGTACTTAGTAAAACTTTACATTTTCATTCCGTTCCAAATTTACCGAGGGAAAATGCAACTATTTCGTGTGTTTTTTTCTTCACAAATAATATCTTCTGGTTTATATCGTTGCGGGATCCAAGACAGTCATTCATGTTCCTAAGACGCACCGTACTTCAGTGTTTTCATGGTTGTATCTACTGCGGATCCTAGCTTACACGGGTTGCAGTGGTTTTGGGAAGTTAGTGGGGCTTGTCCTATTAAAAGTAAAAACTAAAGGTAAACTGAATCATGTGATGTGTGTGTATCATTCACTGAATAAATTTATTAATTTCGCACCTGTGAATGAAATCATTATTAGTTTACATGGTCATTTGACTGCGTAAAAAAACTAATAACTTTGTTGGACCCTAAACTTTCACCCAGTACCTCGCACAAATAGCGAAACAATCGTGGAACTCTTAATATATTTATTTTTATCATTATTACTATTGAATTTGATATAAATTTTATTATATTTTGTCTTTAATATATTTTGAAGAATTTTACTCAATCATGAAAGAAAATACTCAAGCCTTATAATATTTTCTTGAGTGTTTTGAACTTTCAAGAGTCGGTCGTTGACCCATTGGTTCGCGATGAAAATTCACGTCGAATCATTCCAGTCAAGATTTACAAAATTTATTTGTCAAACGATTCACAAAGTGTATTGTTCGAATCAAAATCTGCTTGAAATATTGAAAATCACGAGCGTACAATTAAGATACTTTCGTACAAGCGTTTGCCCGATTTGTCGGTCCAATAAATTGATCTAAATTTGAAGAATCAACGGACTTTTGTCTCTGGATTTAGCAATATTTAAATTTGGAAAAAAAACGATTCGTGAGTTGTTTGAAAAAGGTTTTTTCCGTTGATAGGAGTAGGAAAATTATATTGTTAATTCTATGGTTGACTTATCTCTTTGTTTTTTTTCAGCAAAGTTATTGGTTCTGGGTGATAAGGAAATTAAATGTAGGCAACAAAAGAAACCTCTTTGACTCAATGGATTATCTAAAAAGTCCAAGGATATACAGACAACTTAAGAAAAAAAATAAACATGTTTTTTTATATTATTTTAATAGTAACTTTCAAAATTAGAATCATACCTATACTTATTTATCTACTTGTACACATATATTTTCCGCAATATGTCACTATAAAACATAGGTACAGAAGTTTCATTCCTGTTTCTTATTTAGAAATGCAACAATTTGCCTTGCGTTGGTTTCACCTCAGGATAAGGTCACTGTGTAGATTGATGTTGGTTGCGACCTTTTCACAGTTAGGAAAGCAATACTGCAGGTAGCTTAGAGATTCTATGTCATCTTCCCGTAATAGAATCTGATTTGTGGTTTGCCTGCACACTTGTAATATCTCGACTGTTATTTCCCGTAGGGGTAGACAAAGTCATGTTTTACATACAGTTTGAGCTGTTGGAATTACTGCATTTTATATAGAATGCATAAGTAGAAAATAACATAATTTTAACGTAGGT